TCTCCTTATTGAGAATCATCTCAACTAACTTGTGCTGTCTAAATATTCAGTGACTTGTCTTGGCTGTTTGTACGCTGCTTTTACAATTGGTGAAGAGAAGTAGATTCTCCCCCAGTGGATGATTCATCTATTCTGTTTTGGGCTTCAGTATTAGAAAAGGATAAATGACCTGTGGAGATGCATCAAAGCCACACCTGGGAGATTTCAGTTGGTCCTGGGGTTGCGGTCCTGCAGTGCTCATGGACCATGCAGATGAATGGCTGATTTGGAGAGATGCTGCACAGACACTGCTAGCTGGCAGCCTCCTGGGATCGCTGCATCCTGCGTTCAGCCCTCCTGTAGCTGCCAGGTTTTTGCCTTTTGAGGAAGGAGGGTTGTCTCTCCTAAATTGTGGCTGAAATGCTTGAAAAAGGCAGCCTTAGCTTAGAGCAGTAGTTCTCAACCTGTGCTCTGCAAACCCTGGGGGTCCGTGGATCACTCCTAGGGGAACGAAGAAGAATTCTGTGAAAGGTAACCTAAAAAAACCTGTGTTTATTGTCACTAGATTAACTCTCTGTGTAAAGGAGCTTGTCCCTTCTGAAAGACATTTGGGGGCTGCAGAGCATAAAGGTTGAAAACCACTGAGCTGGAGTAATGTATCTTTATAAGTGATAATTTGACAGCTAAAGAGCTAGAGGTATTCAACTGTACCTTTATGAAAAGTGCCTGGAGAATTGAATAGAACGTGATAAACTTTGTGTAGGCATTTTTGATCAGATCTGTGAAACTGAGTAACTGAAGGGACTATAGAAAATACTAATACACGAAATAAAAGGAGAGTCCTTTTCATAAGGCTTCCAGCTGATAATATAGAGTCATGCTCCTAATGTAGACTGCAGTTACTTTGTTCTCTTTAAGACTTAACCCTGACAAATGGTATAGAATTACAGACTAATTTTGGTAGAACAATGTTTCATTTCTAGTACCTGTTTAATGACTTTTTGGTTGTAGGTATATGCTGAATGAGATTTAAGATCTATTTAAATAATTTCCACAAAATGAAGATTCATGTAGATAATCTGAACTTTGGGTTTCCCCACCAAGGTAGCTTTGAATTCAGATATCCAATTTTGACAGCAGGTCCCCTGAAATGCTTGGGTTTGTGATAGTGGCACAGACTTTCTCATACGGTGGTTGGTACAAGAAAGTCCTGCAAGTTGTTTATAAACTGTCACTGCATTCACGTAGATGGGGCAAGAGTTACCAAGCAAAGTGATTCCCCTCACAGTTACACATGGTAACTTTATTTAGGAGAATCGTTATGGGGGGTTTTTCCTCCCACACTCATTGAGTTCTACTTGATTTTGTCAGTATTAGTTCACCTTTATTTGAACTGCTGGGTAATTCATTTGTAGAAGAGGCAGTGCATTTAGGTACTTCCATCTGTATTTAAACAGGCTCTTGTGCTTTCCCCATTAAAAAAAAAAAAAAAAGATTTTGTAGTATAATACTTGTGGTGGTTGAGGTTCTGAATTTAACTCCTTCCTACTCTAGTTTCTCTTAACAACTCTGCCTTATCAGCACCTGGGGTTTCTAGTTTGCTCTCTTTGCAAATATGAATTTGCAAGAATGGGCTGATGGTAAGTAGCGTGGTTCTAATTTGCACTTGCGAAGTGTGTCAGACAGTTTCACCTAATGCATGGCGAGCAGAGGAAAGCCTGTCTTCCTTTGAGAACAGTCCTTAGAGGATGTCAGAGAGAGTGTTTGGCTGTATTAGTCATTTGCAAATGCAGCACAGCTTTGAAATGAGCTGTCCAGGAGCTGCTCAAGGAAGGGATGCCTGAACTCCTGTAAATCCTCTCTTCCTGCTTTTCCTCCATCCTTTTTCTTCTTGCTTTTATGCTTCTGAACTGTCACTTCGATGTGCTTTTGGATGAGTCTACTTTGTTGCGCTGGTAGGCGTTCTTTGGACTCGTTTGGATGAAATGTTTGTGACAGTCATTGCTGGGACTATACCCAGTGACACAGGAGTCCTTTCCAGCTTTCTGTTCATTACTCCCTCTCCATCTACTTAGTATCCTTATAGCCTCATCCGTCTTTCCTATCCTAGTACCTAACAGACAGCTGTTGAAATCGCTCTTCCTTGTGGAGTCTGAGTGCCATTTTCTCATTCTTCTGCACATGCCTTGTGCATAGTTCATGTGCATTTGTAATGTCTTTTTGTAATCAATTAACAATCTAGAAGTTTAAGCATGGGGTGATATTTGAGTCCATACAGAAGGCTGGACTGTGGCCACCCTTGTCTCCCAAGCAAAAGAGCAGAGGTTTGTGGTGATATCTCATCTGCGCCCTTATTCAAGGCCTACAGCCAACATTACTCTTTGTGTCCCCCTAGATCATTAGTGTTCCAGAAGTGTTGAATTCCCTCCAACCTGTTCCATATCTCTGCTACACCACATTAACTAGCATTGCACCCTCCTCCTCCCCCTCAAGCCACGCTCTCATTACAAACTTGCCCAACACCCTCAGAGGAATTCAGAATGAGTCAGTCATGGTGCCTCTGGGGACTCCTACTGATGCAAACTTCCTCCTCCTCAAGGTTGACTGCGGTTTGAATGCCACAATGCAGCCCGTGCTTTTGAGCTCCAACCTTTGCCATGATGGTGTTGGCAGTGCTGGGTCTCTGGCCCAAGGACCCACCTTGGTGCCTTCCTTCATTTGGGCTTCTGTGCAAGATGGGAGACTCAGCACATCTTGTTGGTGTTGGGTGTGAAAGTTGCTCAGATCCTCTCGGAGTACCATTCTATAGGCAGCAAAGGTTATTTTGGAGGAAGGGGTTATTGTTCCTATGGTGTATTGCAGTTCTTTCAGGAGACTGACACCAACGCATGAACGATGTTATCTGGATGCTAACAATGCAAGAATGAAATCCCCCAGTTCTTGGTGTGGAACAGACTTCCATCGCAAGAGCTTTACTGGGAATCTGTCATAATCTGCTTACAGAGTCCGCATTCAGAAACATAAGATGTGATGAACAGAGCTGAATTATGTTTTGTTTTGGGCTTTCCCATTCCCCACTGATGTGCCCTTGTCATTTTAAAAAAAAAAAAAAAGCTCTTCTGGTGGTAATTACACAGTGCTGCATTGTGGACCTTTCATCCCATTACAGTAAGTGGACGAACTAATGTCACTTACAAGAATGAACTAGGTGAGGAAATGGGAAAATTTCTAGCACTCCTGGACTAAATGCCAAGCTGACACAGGGAATAATTGCTTCAAGAAGTAAATTTCTTGCTAGCACTGAGTACTGGTGCAGTTGTTCTCTGAAGAGGTAGAGGGATGCCTGCTCCACACCAGGTGTTTCAGGAACAGAAGAATTAGGCAATACTAATGAAGGGCTACAGACCCTTAACCTGCCTGTGCCCTTGCAGCTAAGCCTAGATACACTTCAATTCTTCATTTTTCTCAGTTTCAAAATCTCTTCTATGTATTGCCTCGTCATGGATCTGTTTGTAAAGTCAGGGTTTGACTACATTAAGACATTTTTTTTCTCTAGCAGAAGTATGCTGTCTGTTTTTCCCCACCTCTGCATGCGTACCTTTTACATCTCTAAAACCAGCTTGATGCTCTTATTTGCCTGTTGTTTTGTTCATTCTTTGTGGGAGGTTTGCCCTGAAGGTGTGATTGCAGGAGTAAGTTCTTTACCAGTGCATCAGCAAAAACATCTTTGCACCTGTCACCAGGGAAGAGTTACCGATTGTGTAGTAGAACTTCTTATTACTTGGTAGTTTTTTGTGGGCTGTGGAGGAGAAGTTGAGTGGTTTGTTCTTATCTCCCTTCACCTATGGTGGCTGCCACCTGGGTGGTGATTTGGTAACTGGGAGGCTCAGTGTGCTGGGTGTTTGAAGGTCTTCTCCAGCCACTGGCCTGTGCTGGTTTGGCAGCAATTTCTTGCCGCCACCTGCTGACCAGGCAGAGGATTTCTCTGATGCCCCTGGTGAGCCCCCACCACTCAGTTCCCTGCCCAACAGGTCCAGCAAGAGGGAGATGAGCAGAGCATGCAGACCAGAGTGTCTGCATGGAGCAGGGAATACCTTGGGACAGATACAGGACTGATCATTTAAGGAAAAGAGGTGTGTGCTTTAGTTCGAGCACTGCCATGGGCATGAGATGAGTTTGTCTGATTTAGGGCTCCCTTGAGCTTGCAGGTTATTGAGAGGATTGGGGTGAGACTGAGCCCACTGGAGAAAGCTTACATAAAATATAACCATCATTCTAAGTGCAACAGCAAATGAATACCATCAAACTGTTCATGCTGCCTTTAATTCTGAGGTGTATGGGAAGAGATGGAACTCAAGGACCCTTTTAAAGATGAAACACAATAAGGAGAGGCCAGATATTTTACCAAATCCTGAAGTCTAGGAGAAAAATTTTGTTCTTCTTTGATTTAGTGAAAAGATTTAATGATGATCTTCAGAAACCATTTCATATGGGACACTTCTGTGTTACACTTCAATCCAAGCAAAGGTTTCAGGCCATCCTGTTTTGCTGTCCTCTGCTGTCAGAAGCAGCCCTGTATCAGGGGCTGTACTCTCTGGAGAATTGCATGTCTCCATAGAGACTTGCATTGCATTTATCTTTCTTTTGAGTGCTCTCATTTCCACATGAACATGTATTTAGCCATGCTAGATATTCTCCTGCAAATCTCCTTTTTCCTCCTGCATTTATTGCTTTTGAGTTTGTTTGTTCTGAGGTGGAGGAAGAAACCCCAAGGAGAGACAAGGCACTGGCTGGCAGTTCTGCTCGGCTGCAGCAGCGCTGTCCCTGTTCTGTCAGATCAGGAAAAGGTTGTTATTACCATTTTATAATGCATAGTTTAAGGTACATTCCTGCTTCCCTAAGCAGTTTGAGTTGCTGTGCAGATGTTACTGTAAGACCCTGTTCCCTCTTAACCCTTCTGCTTTTGACCCAACGCTGAATGAACCGTCCTGCTGACACTGCGGCTCTTTGTTCACTCCTAGGGCTCTGGGACCTCCAGCTCTGCTGCCACCACCCCGTCTGTGTCCACCCCCGTCACCGGCCACAAGCGGATGATCATTCCCAACCAACCTCCCCTCACCGCCACCAAGAAGTCCACCGCCAAGGGGCCTGGCCAGCCGGCACCCATCCCAGTCACTCCCATTGGCACCCTGAAGCCTCAGCCGGTTCCGGCCTCCTACACCACAGCCTCCACACCCAGCCGCCCGACCTTCAACGTCCAGGTGAGGACGGCACAGCCCAGCCCTCACTACCAGCCGCCCGGCCCGCAGCCCACGCACTATGGCAGCCTGGGGCCTGGCCAGCCCTATGCAGCCCCACCGGCCCGCCCGCCTGGTGCCCAGCAGTATGGCTCCCCACAGCACCGTGGGCCCGACTACGGTTATGCCCCACCGCCTGCCCGTCCTTCAGAGCCCAGCTATGGCTATGCACCTCAGCAAGGCCGCTACCAGGACCCGTATTACGGCGGATATGGAGGGAGGAATGGCTCTGAAGCACCCTACATGCCACAGAGCACCTGGAAGGTTGAGCCAGCGTATCCTAGCAGTAACACCGTGGGCCAGGCTCCTTCTGGGCTGTACCAGCCTCCTGGCACAAAGAAGACCTACATCACAGACCCAGTGCTGGCCCCGCAGCCGCTGCAGCAAAAGGTAGGAGATGTCAGCGCTCGTTGGTCACCCTTATACAGAGAGATTGGTGAGGTGCTGGCATGGGCTGTCCAGGGAAGCTGCGGATGCCCCATCCCTGGAGGTGCTCAAGGCTAGGCTGGATGGGGCTCTGGGCAGCCTGAGCTGGTGCTTGATCTAGCAGTTGGCAACTCTGCCCACAGCATGGGGTTGGAACTTGATGGTCTTTGAGATTTCTTCCAACCCAAGCCATTCTGTGATTCTTGGGGGGAGTGCAAGAGCCTTCTTCAAAGGCAGCACATGGAATTAAATGGCATTCTGTGGATCCCAAGCAGCTACAGCTCCTTTTCCCTAGGGTCAGGGCTGAGGGCACATGAGCAGTGGGGTCACAGCAACTCATCTCCTCTGCCCCACATCTCCATGCCTACATCAGAAGGGCTGGCCAAGGTTTTCAAACCTTGCTGGTTGGCCCTTTCACTGTGCACTGTTGGAGTCAGTGGGGTGATAGGTGTGTAAGCCACACCTTTGTTTGACAAAGGGAAGGAAATGGAGAAGAGTACAGAAAGTAGTCCCCCTCCATGTGGCTTTTGGAAACAGGGAGCTCTCCTGTGGCTTGGAAATAAGCTTTTGGGGGCTTACAACTTGCGTCAGCCTCATAGGGTGAGACAGCAGTGTTGGTGTTATTGCAGCTCACCCTGCGGGGTGGGAGCAGCTCCATCCCTGCAACATGCCCTCACACGATTTAATCGTCAGCAATACGTCTGTGTGGTGTTAGTGCACTTGGGTCTTTCCTTCAGGGCTCTCCCAAGATCAAATGGGAGTCAACGTTTCCTCTGAGTGCTCATGGGCATCTTTGGCTCACTGGAGAATTTGTTGATCTTATGTAGATAGGAGGTACAGAAGGCACTGTTTTCGGTTGTGGTTCAGAGCAATTCTGGAGGTTGACCTCTTGTGCGTCACTGTTCAAAAATCACTTATCACTGAAAAACCACATGGAAATGAGTTCTCACACAGTGCTGTGGGTGCTCTGATTTCCCTCTCAGGTGGCAGCAAGGTAAGTGGCATCCAATCACTTCAATGTGCATTTGGGCCTTATAAACCAAAGGAGATACCAAACAAAGTTAAATTGCTTGGCTTCTGTGCCCAGATGTCAGCATGGGCTGGCCCATGTCACTTCTGGTGGTCACATCAAATGTGGCTCTAGGGGCTTATAGGGCCTCAGCTTTGTGTGATCTTTCTGTATGATGGGGTTTGGCTGCACCTGAGGGCCAAGACACCAAGCCCATGTGGGGAGGTGGTGAACGCGCTGCTGGCTAGGGCAGGATAATAAATGAGAACTCCTTGAAATACTGTTCATGAGTTTTTTCCCTTTCCTTACCAAGAAGTGAGGAGAAAAGCAATAAACTCAACTCTGCAGGTGCCTGGTACAGAGCTTAGATTGGAAAGTAGTGAGAGGTAGGAAACTTGCACATAGCCTTAACAGGTGTAAATTGATGTGCTTCCAATGGAGTCACTGAAGAAATGCTGAGCTATAGCAGATATGTATTTAGATTTGTATAGATACAAATAGGCTCATACATAGAAAAAAAAAAAAATTAAAAACTTTAGTTCAGTCAGCATCTCTATGGAAACGCAAGTCATCTTGAACCACAAACAGCACAAGTCTCATTTGCATTACAAAGCTGGAGGGACAATTTAATTTAGTTCAAGTTTGAGGTTTCGTGTATGCATATATAGATACATATTTACATATATGTTTGTGTGCACGTGACATTTGCAAATACACATAAAAATTGTAAGTGCGTATCTCTATAAAAATAACTTATTTCTGCAAAACAAACTACGATCTGCTTGGTGATAAATTCCTCCAGAACTTAGTTCTCTTCTAACCTGCTGAATATTTGCATTACTGCCTGTTTCACCTTGAACTTACAATGGTTCTCTGACATGGTGGTGCAAATTGCTTGATTGCCGCTTTGTAAAATGCACAGTTTGATTGGTGAAGAATTGAAGATGATCTTGCAGTCTGGTAGGATGTGCTCAGTAATAAAGCACTGTGGGCTTTGCCAGTGAAGTAGTATTGTCTGTTTTTACTGAATGTTCTTCTCTTCCTTTGCAGTCTCATTCATAAAAGCAGCTTTTGGAATTATTTAAAAGGAAAAAAATATGGAAGGCTTTGTTAGTTCTGATAGGGAGAATTATTGCTGTAAATCTATTTGTTGGCTACAGCACAACAAAAATCAGAATCAGTTTTCTACATGAAAATACATTGTGTTCTGTCTTTTCAGGGTTGGTTTGAGGTCTTTCAGTTAAGGAGAATGAACTGAGAAGCCAGAGTGATTTAAAAAGCAGGTGTTACCACTTAAAATGCAAGAATACCTTTTAGATATTTTTCCTCTTGCAATGGAGTCATCTTAAAACACTGAATTGTTTCCAAATGTATTCAGAGAAATGCATTCTTAATTTCGAACACATTTTGTGCAGAAAATATTAAAGAAATCTTAACAAATCCATCTCAGATTAGAAATTCATGAGCCTTAATTCTAACATCAACTGTGACCTGTCACTGAGTAGGATTTTTTCATTCAATTCGTTTAGGATTTGTAATGACCAAAAAACCCCCCAACTAATTAAAAAACATCTTGATTTATATTTTGCATTCTGTGTAGAAAAGGTCAACAATACTGTGGCACTGTGCTTTCCACTGTGTACTAATTACATTGAGGTCGCTGCTGATCCAAAATAAATCTGGACTGGTATGGGAACAGCAAATAATCTCTATGGGTTCTTAAGGCCCACTGAGAATAATGAGCTTTAGTCACAGACAGCTCTGGTGCATTCTGTCCTTGGGCCACTTTTGGGAGTGAGAGTTGTGCATGTGAAACCTCTCTGCTTTTAATTCTTTGTTGCATTGCACTTAGCATTAATGCCCAAGTTCTAGTTAGGAAATGAACTAGTGAAGTGCATATCCTCATTCAAACCTTCATACACTTTGCAGACATCCCTGGCCAGAAATCTCAGTAGCTTTCTCTTTTTGGTCACTGATAGTGGGGATCTCTGAACAGTACAAGAGTTGTTACAAAACCATCACAGAAACTTGTGATACAGTGGGCTGGCTTCATGCTGTGTCCTTTCAGATCAAATCAAAGTGTGAAGGCTCTTTCTTAACACCTCCTCTGTCAGAAGTCAGCAAGCAGTAGACCAGAGTGACTCATTAGGCATAATGATTTTTGCCACAAAGATGTCCACAGCAGGGAAAAAAAATGGCAAAAGCACAGAGAGAGGATTTTTGCAGGTTTGCCTAGTGGCCAAAACAGTTGAAGAAACTCCTACCATTAACCAACACATCACCAAAACAAGTTGGCCAAATCACCAAATACCCTTCATATCATCCAGTAACTCTAGGTCCTTTCACTGGTTTTGGTTGTCATAGAATTGTTAATATTGGAAAAGACTTCCAAGATCATCTAGTCCAACTGTCCACATATCATCAATATTTTCCATTAAACCACATCCCTCAGTGCCACATCTCCATGATTCTTGAATGGTGACTCCACCATCTCCCTGGGCAGCTTGAGCCCAGTGCTCATCCACTCTTCTGAAGAAGCAGCTTTTCCTATTATCCAACTTGAATGTTATGTTGTAGTGTTTCTGAGATACTACTGCATATCTTTGTGGACCAGGAGAAAGCATGCTATGGGTGCTAAATTCATTAGCATCCACTGCAGCTTGCATTCTAGCTCATTCATGCGAGTCTATGAAGGCTCAGCCCCTTGTAGCCCTAACCTTTGTATTTTTGTCTAATGACATCTTGGACAGAATGATTGGCCTTGATGGGTATTTTTGTGCTTGAGGGTGTTTTTTTTTCCTGCATTCAGACTTTGATTTTTTTGATTTTAATGGGAAATGGAAAATTTCTCAACATTTGTGGACCTCTCTTGTGTATTTCCTGGTGCATTTGAGGAGTGGCCCCTGTAGACATCCAGGAGGTCTAACCTTCTTGGATCTTGGATCCCATGAATTCTCCTTCCTATTTCTGAATCTACTCATTGTCCTGAGGAACCATGTTCCCTCCCAAAGGAACTAATGCACTAGTAGTGCATGAGGAGCAGGATAACCACTTCAAATGGCCTTTCAGCCCTGTGCACAGTTTTTTCAGTGAGCACTATGGAAACTAAAAGGAGAAACTATGGCAGAGGGGGGGAGATAAAGCTAATGAGGCAGCTTACACTTTTGGCATGGCTTAGGTGATGATGGTCACTTGTGGTTAGCAGACCTTGACCACTGCATCCTTTCCGTGCTGCTGGACGTGGTGTTTCTTTGCTGCCTACTGCAACCAGCATTAACAGGTCTCATGAAACTTGCAATACCCAAAAGAGGGCTGTGACGGCTCGCTGTTTTCTCATTTTACACAGCTTTTGTCAGTTTTTCCACTGATTTAATATCTGTGATGGAGACATTTGCTTGGAAGTTTCATCTTTGCCTCAGAAACATCTGCTCAACAGTGTCCTTTGCTATGACTGATGCACTTCTCTTGCACTGGTTTAATAATTTTTACGGTCTGCCATCACTCACATAAAATAATACCTCCAGCTCTTGTGTTTGAACTGAGACTAATGCTCTTGCTGTTTGCTGTTAATCTAGTGGCTAGGAATTTTTTGTTCTCTGCAGATGAGTAAATGCAATCTGCCAGACATCCTCCTGCTGTCTCAGGATGTAGCCTTCCTTAGCTTAGCTTTTTGCTTGTGCACAAAGGCAGGCGGCTTAGTGTTTGCCACCTCCCTCCCCACAAGTATCTTCTCCCCCAGAACATCATCTCTGCACCCAAGTCAATAGCTTTCCACTGGGTAGGATTCAGGGACAGTGTGAAATGGTAGCTCAAGCTGGTTTTCTGTCAATGCAAGCCAGTAATTGCCCATACAATGTTGAAACAAAACCATATCAAATTAAAAAGTTATTTAAAATGTTGCAGTCTGGTACTGAATACATTAAAAAGAGACAGAACGATAATGTAAAGTGAAATA